TCTAGTCAGATTGTCTAAGTGCCATTATTTTTGTTGCCCTCATCCAATCTTTAGGGGTGGGGGGGGGGAGAGTTGTAAGATGTAGACATTATTGTTATGTTGGCGCTACCTGGCAACTTTAATAGCGGAGAGTCTGCGGTGCCAGTTGCCGCCTGTCAGGCTTGTAGCACAGATCTCTACATTAAAGTTCTCGGTCGCTACACAGTGTTTTTCTTTCCCTTCAAGAAAACTCCTATCACCATGTTAACAATGTGTATTTGCTCGAAACAAGGCTAACAAAGCACTTGGGTTCATACAAAGGAGTGTTAGTTACAAGACTAGCGAGGTTACCTAAAACTATGTCTTGCGCTTGCGAGACCTTATTTGGATTAGGCAGTTCAGTTCTGGTCACTGTACTACAGAATGGATAAAGAATCCCGAGAAAGAATTCAGAGGAGAATGACAAGGCATTAGGAACCTTGAGTACAGACAGGTTAAAGCATTTTACTTTGCACTCCCTTGAGAGACATAGAGTGAGAGGCGATATGATCGAGGTGTATAAATGGAAGTCAGGACTAAACAAAGGTACTCAAACTATCCAACTAGGAGCGAACTCATAGCAATGGTTTTAAATTAGGCAAATTTAGATTTAGGCGTGAGATAGGTAAATATTGGTTTGGAAATAGAGTAGTGGATGAGAGGAACAAGATAAGAATCATCATCATTAACTCGAATATGCTGGATAACTTCAAACATAAGTTGTATGGATATGTGAGCGATAGGGGTTGGGTGTAAACGGGACTACCTAGTATGAGCAAAATAGGCCTGCTGCAGTTTCCTCCATTCTTATGCTCTGAAGTGTACTATTATGCAAATTTGTGTTGAATATTTCTCCTTGAATGGGCCTAGCTACCTAGTAATAGTGGATAGGTACAGCAACCAGCTTTCTATTTTTCTTTGTGGTAAGGGTGAGGCTAATGCGAAGGTGCTTGTTAAGCACCTGTGCACCATGTTCCACACGTACTGGGTGCCTGAGGAGCTGTCATCCGATGGGGGACTACAGCTTGAGTCCTAGGAAACCAAGTGCTTTCCCACTTTCCAACCTGCATGCAGAGCTGGCAGTGTAGTATGTCAAGAGGCTCATCAGAGATAATTCTGACACGGAGGGTAGGCTGAACAATAATAAACTTTGTTGGGTGTTGTTGCAGTACATGGATATCCCTGACTGGGATATTGGGCTATCGCCAGTCCAGATCATCTTCTGTAAAAAGATAAAAGGCTTCATCCCCCTCACACGCGACAAGTTCAACCTTCAGGAAGAATGGAGAATGATTGCAACTGGGCGGGCGTGAGCTTTGCGACGGCCCCACATCACAGCTGTTGAAAGATGGTCGGAACATACCAAGCCTGGATATCTGTGACACTGTCCAGGTGCATAACCAGGAGGGAAATTGCCCCAATAGGTGGGACAGAACCAGTCAAATATTTGAGGTGCTGGAGTATGACCAATACAGTCAAAATGCATGGTTCAGGGAGAACCACGCTCAGAAACAGAAAGTTCTTCAGGAAGATTTGAGCTGTATGTTGGGGACCAGCGCATCCCTAAACTGCTACCAATCCCCTTGACTTCGGAAAGTCAGGCACTAACTGGGTCTCCACCAACCCCGGTGCATCCATCACAACCTACCATGCCTGTGACAACACCTCTGCAATGGCAGGATCCTCGAGCCAGTGATTATTAGTTACTACCTCTGATGCCCATTCAGCCACCACCTGATTTGGAAAGCCCACAATTACGCTCACAGACAACCAAGCTTCAGTGGACAATGGCCGTGCAATGGGAGCAATGGGGACGCAAGAGGCCGTTGGAGCCAGGTGGCCGTGGGAGGTTTGTTAGGGCTAGGAAGCCACTGAGGAGGGAAGACCCACCGGTTCATGGAAGCTTTCTGCATCTCTTACATGGTCAATACGGCCCCGCATGGTCAGGGCAAAGACTATAATAAGAAAGAGAGGAAAGTGCCTCCCTTTACCGATAAAAAAAACATGAGCCACTGAGCTGATCATCGCCATCTGTTGGCAACGCGGCTGACTAAAAGCCCGGGGCGAAAGAGGGTAGCGTTTCCATTGTAACCAGCGGAGTGAGCTTGTGTTTATGTTTTCACGTTGTTACATATTGATCATATAGAATTTATTGTGTATTTGTATGTGTCAGTATGTATGTGTGCATGTGTACACATTAAAAATGTCAAGGCAAAGACGTCGAGGTAATATTATTGCCTTGACGTTCTTAATGTGTACACATGCGCACACACACATACACACTGACACACACACACAATGTCACACAATAAATTCTATATGATCAATGATATATAACAATGTGAAAACGTTAAATACAAGCTCAGCGTGATCTGTTTTTGTACATGTGCATACGGCACACGGGGGATAGTAACTCCTTACACACTAACGCCATCTGTTAATTCCGCGGCCAACTATATGCTACAGTATGTGGCTTACGTGGTTTTTGTCTTGCTTTCCTGTCTTTCTTATTATAGTCTTTGGGTCAGGGTCTCAAGGATGTCCTCTGGGGACGTCACCAAACATACCTGGAAAAAAGTATCTGCCATCTCTCCTTGATAAATGGGAAGCCAGCTTCTTTGGGGGTAGGGCATCATATATAATACTGCTTGTGTCTGTTTGATTATACTACTTGTGTAATGTTTGTTTTCCTTGTCTTTCACAGAGAGTATGGGCATGTATTGTGATCAAGGATATTAAATACATTTCAAAATGATAAGTGTCTATTCCTCTAATCCATAAACACCGAGTCCTCCTCCAAATTTTCCTAATATAGCACTTTTGATTTTTTTTTAACTGCCACCATGAACTGAATGACTCCTCTACTGCATCAATAAATTTGCAGGTTTACCCCCAAGACTCACTCACAGGCCCTCTCCCAATTGAACTTTAACCCTTTAGTGGGCAGGGTTCCCCTCAGCTGAATAAAATCGTCTGGTGCTAGCAAGAATAAACACTTAATGACGTTTTTGCTTTCTGAAGGGTTAAGGAACCAGCTACATGAAGGCCAAGAGCTGTAGTTCTATGCTGCTGTGCTTTGTGCACACTTGTTCCAAGTCTCTCATATGTTTGAAGTGCAGTACAGTACCTATACCGTATTTGAGAATCGACGTGCTCAACTATCTTCATGCTCTTGCACCCAAGGTTCACTTCACATTCCACATTACTGTTGGTTCAACTATTGCCCAATCCATCTCCATCTTTGTATCCTTTGGTACAATTAGCTTTCTCTCTAACCATTTTCCAATGATCTTACAACTGTCTTTCCATTGACTGTGTGATTCAGTTTATCTCTCATGGTTTCATTTGTTTCATTTATTGATACATTCATCTTATTTTTCGCCACTTTATTTTTTTACATTCAGTATTAAGTTTCTTGTACTACACACACTTTCAAACTCATTGACTTACATTTACCTTGAAAATCATCAATTAAAAGCCATCATCTGCATACAACAGCTGACTCACTCCTCATTTCCGCCATCACGTTTATTTTTACCTTTATTACTACCCCATCTGTATAAATTATTTAAAAATTTTGGTGAAAGAAGTCCTCGAAAGAGAAAGAAAACCTAACATAACCCAGCCCTGTAAACAAAAGAGGTCATATCTTCAAGCTCACTCACTCATTATGCAAAACGAGTAAGAGGAACTTCGTGCAAAAGGTAGTAGACCTGTGGAAATTATGGTGTAAATAAATGTCTATGGTTTGAATCTTCAGTGCAAGAACATTCAAGGAACCACTTTTAAAAAGGTTGAAATATCTGATCTGTTTGATGCTTAAATTTATCAAATACATAAAATAACGAAAATGCAGTATAAACACAACGCTGTGACATGCATATGTATGCATGACCACCGAAGGGTCAAGAAGTACCTGGCGCTCCTCTCGGAGCAGCCAGGTCAACTGTTAAGTTGGCCCATACCAACCCCCTCCCCTGAACCACTTCTCCCCACCGGAATATCAACAAGTTCTCGCCAGAAGTTACAATTTCATTTAGGAAAGGAATGGAACCAGTGTTAAACAGAGGTGAACATTGGTGAACAGTGCTTAAGTCAGTGAGAACAACTCAACAGTATCAGTCGTACTCAAGTTAACCTTCACACAGTGAGGTCCCAGGTACCCAGTGATAACGGCCCGTGAGACCCAACAACCAGCGATGTGTTAATCCGTCTACGATAGGAAGGCCTGGGACCACACCTCACTCATATAACACCATCTGTGAGGGAATTACTACACCACGTGATGCCCCTCATAACACCATCTGTGAGGGAGTTACTACACCACGTCAAGTCCCTCATAACACCATCTGTGAAGGAATTACTACACCACGTGAGGTCCCTCATAACACCATCTGTGAGGGAATTACTACACCACGTGATGCCCCTCATAACACCATCTGTGAGGGAATTACTACACCACGTCAGGCCCCTCATAACACCATCTGTGAGGGAATTACTACACCACGTCAGGTCCCTCATAACACCATCTGTGAGGGAATTCGTACACCACGTGATACCCCTCATAACACCATCTGTGAGGGAGTTACTGCACCACGTGAGGCCCCTCGTAACACCATCTATGAGGGAATTACTACACCACGTGAGGCCCCTCATAACACCATCCGTGAGGGAATTACTACACGTGAGGCCCCTCATAACACCATCTGTGAGGGAATTACTACACCACATCAGGTCCCTCCTTACACCATCTGGGAGAGAGTTACTACACTACGTGTTTGCTGTTCAACATGTACAATCCTACATTAATCTGAATGTTCACTGTATGTTCCTTTACCTTTCTCTAATGAAGGCTTTTGTTAAAGCACCAATGTATGTAATAAGTCATTTATGTCCAATGTATATTTTCAGCCTTCGGGCTGCAGAATTTTTTCAATAAACCGTTAATTATTATTATTATTATTATTATTATTACATATATATACTGATACAATTTCATGATTATGAATGACAAATACATACAAAATGTATTGATGCATGCATTTCTATCATATAAGCTGTACAGTTAATCAGTCATGATTATCATCTAAACAACCGAAAAAAATTAAGTTACACAGTATACAGTACAGAGGTGTGATTCCATGTAAACAATAGACAAAGTATTCATTTATGAAGATGTGACACATAAACAATAGACATAACATGTAGTTGTACTGGTGTCAGCTGTGACTCACATTAGTAACAGATAAAACATGTTCTATATGCATGAGTGTCATATAAACTAAAACCAAATTTACTGTTGAATAATTGTGACAACAGAAATACATGTAAAAGGATCTGCAGTGGCAGGAGACTACTGAGATCCAGGGTTTGAAGTTGAAGACAGGTAAGAGATTTGGGTGTAGAAAACACGAATATTATGGATCAGGATTATGGATAGGAGAAACAACGAACTGAAAAATGAATAGCTTCGAGTTAGAGGCAGGGTGAGATGAGTGAAGTTGGAGGAGCTGTGTATGAGAGGGATGCCATGGGAGGTAAGTCAGTGTTGATATATGGAACGGAGACATAAGAACAAGGAGTTGTTGGTAAGAAATAAGATTGAAATAATGCAATGGATGCTGTAAGTATCACTCAGGAAGAAGTTGAGGAATGAATATATTACAGCAAGAGTAGAAATTACATATATAAATAGTGAGAAGCAAGGTATAAATGGATTGGCCATGTGGTACAATGAGAGGAGGGTAAGCAGTCTTAAGAACCCGTACGAGCTAAACAAGAGGGAAGTTACTGTATGATGATTGGGGTAGAAGGACGTTCACCAAGTGGGGTTGGGACGTTCGTCAGGCTGTGAGGGTGTAGGTATTAGTCTAGGTAGAGGTTAAGATAGGAGATAAGTCGCTGTGGCTGTCCCAGGTCACTAGTGCCGTGGGGCAACTTCCAAGCCCTCTTCAACGCCTTCCGCACGCTGTATCTAGCCCAGTGCCTGAGGGAAGGAGGTCCCCCAAGTATCCCATCGTACAGGACGCGTGGGTGTAGCACCTCCGCATCCCAAGCTACTTGTCGTGCCCCAATGGCTCTCAGCAGGAGGTGGAGCACCGATAGGGCTTCCTGTGGATACACAATAGGATGCTGGAAATAACAAGGACAAGGATGGCCTGGGCAAGAGCAGGGAGGCCTCTGACTAAGGGTGGCTTGGGCATGGGCGGACAGACGACGTAGCGCCAATAGGAATGGGCAGAATTGGCCGCTTAGGACAGGTGTAGCCCCATTCTGTAGGAGGAGCAAGACGGCATCCTCATCGGTGGCCTGAACAGCAACATAGAGGGGTGAGGCGCCCTGAAGTGTGGGGAGTGGGGCGTCTATGAGAGGAACTGGAAGTCTCCCTGGTTGAGGTAACACTAGGCATGTGGTTCGTGCATGGTCCACAAAGAACTGAAGTCGGTGTCTGGCCTGCTCTGGTGTGTCGGTGTCACCACGCCAGGAGCTCAGAATGTGCGACACCTTAGGTCCCAACACAGCTGGTGCCACCAGGCGGTCTAAACCTCCCTCACAATGATGAAGAGCTTGAAGCAGGCGCGTCACAGCATCAGAGTCCCGCACATTTTGCTCCACAGCTACAGACACTGTGACATATAAGACATTGTGGAATTTTCCCAGTTTACAGACGCCACCGTTGCTGTCAAGATGCCGATTGTGATATTCAAGTGTGGCATCGATGAGTGCTGCAGCAGCTTTGGCTGGGTCACTGGAAGCTTCTAGCATTGGGGTAAAAGCCTCTACTAGCTCATCTCTTCGCTTGCGGGAGTTGAGACAGTCTCTGGCACACCCTGCAAGAAGAGTTTCCAGCATGTTGGCATTTACCGTGAGGCCGTTACCAGCCCCAGCACCAGTCAGGACGGCTGGCCACAACCTTTGGATGAAGGGTGCGTCCTCGCCTCCTTTAGGCCCCCAGCCCAGCACCAGGCCACGAACCTCTGCCATAGTCTTGCGGGCCATTGTGTATCTACAACAATTTTCAAAGCAACTTTGTGTAGCAACAACTATTCTTGGGACAACTGTGTAAGACTATACCAATTCCAAGGACAACCTTTAATACAGATAAAACAACTGCGACATCTATATATAGCTACAACAAATGTAGGACAACTGTGGGTAGCTACATAAATTCTGGGAACTGTGTGAAGTTACAACAATTTCAGGGACAAACGTATATATGCACAACAGTTCTGGATATATCTGTGTATAACTATAACAATTCCAGGACACACCCTTGATTACCATATGGATTCCAGGGAAGGTGACTTCAAAGCAATTTTATGAATATTTATAGTTTGAGACTAAAGTAATTCTATACAAGGCTGCTTTAATTATTATTAATAGTAGCAGTAGTACTGTGATAGTAGAAGCTAAAACTGCCTTAGGACACCAGTTGGAGCGACAATATTGATTCACGAGCACTCAAGCCTTATAAATGCAACACAAACAGCTGACAAGTTGCTGAGTTGCGTTTTTCTCATGTTTCAACACTAATCGTCAAGTCTCACTCAGGGCTGACTATGATGTTTGCCAACATCAGACAAATTTCCTTCGAACCAAGAAGATACCACTTTAAATTTTCTTATGCTGTAAATTGCAGCTGAATTTTATTTAGCCACCAACACTTCTAGGGTACCAAGAGAACAGAGTAGACTATGTCCATACAGGAAACCAAGAGGGTTCTTTAGTCAGTGCCGTTATTTGTCTTCCCGAACATTGACGGTATTACTGTATTAAAAATATCCATAGCATTTACAGAAACCACAGAAGATTTTAAATAAAAAATTTTTGTTTTGCTTTTATAAACAACACCGACGGTTTCATGGATGTCACAGTGGCTTTTGTCAAAACACTGACATAAAAGCAGCCGATCGTCTGAGATGACAAGTATCTTGTTTATTATATGCTTTATCTATGCAGTATCACACACACACACACACAATGAAGTTCCTGTCTATTTTATGAACATGCTGTCACTTGTGTTAGTGATAAAGAAGCCTTTTTTAGACACAAATAAAAATTGATACCAACGCCTTTTCTTTAAAGTTTATTCATATTGGAAATGCTCAAACTTCTGAATTTTATCCTCATATTGGTAGTTGTCTTTTGCTGGAGAATCACTTTGGTAGAGCTGCCGTTGTGTGTTAGGGCCCCTGGGTTGTGGGTAGTGTAGAGCCAGTTTAGTGGTTGTGTGGTAATCTCACCGAGCCAACAACTGTACTGTGACAGTGACTCTCACCTGACGTGGCTCAAGCCAAGCCCTCCATGTGCATAATCCCTCACCACCCCTTATGCTTCACCACCTCTTACCTCCTCACAACCTCCACACTTCTTGCCCTTACTCCTCACCAGTTCCAAGCATATCCCCTCACCACCCCTTAAGCCTCACCATTTTTTACCCCTCACCTCCATCCTTTCCCCCCCCCCCACCATCCCTTATGCCTCACTACCTCCACATGTTACCCCTTACCCTTCACCACCTCTTGGTTGATGAGGATTATTGTAGATATCGTGAGTCCCATCTATATAATTGTTGTAGACATTCATAGGAAGTTGTCTGTTTAGTGTTCGTGCCGCCTATCTCTGTTACCTGTGTCCAATTGATAATTATGTAGAGTTAATTATATTAAACTCTATAGCGATTTCTGTAGTATATTTTTAATTATTTACATTTGACAGTTCAGGAGTTCCTTTCTAATATTCCTATAGACAGCACCCACTGAGTTCCACAAATTCCTACCTTTGCAACTTATACAAAAACATCATTTGACTTTGTGTGATCTCTTGTCAAACTCAGTTGGCATGTTAAATTCCTTCCTTCATTGTGCCAGGAATCACAGATACAAATACACTCATATAGTCACTCCTAACTAATAAACATATATTGCTAAATACCTAATCTTTTATCACCCGTTACCCTACACTACCCCTTAACCTTCATTACCCCTCACCCTTTATTATCCCTCACTACCCATTACCTCCTCACAACCTTCACACTTCTTACCCATTAACCTTCACTACCCATTACCCCTCACCATCCCCTAACCTTCACTACCCATTACTCCTCACCACCCATTAACCTTCACTACCCATTACCCCTCACCGCCCTTTAACCTTCACTACCCATTACCCTTCGCCACCCTTAACCACTACCCATTACCGCTCATCAACCCTTCTTCTTTCCTCTCCTAACCACTTCATCAAAAAAGTGAGACCACAGTGGCTTAGGTGTTTGCTCCCCTCTGTAATGTGTCAGGTATCATAACATGTTGGAACAGAAAATTATCTCTCAGTTTCTACAAAAAGAGTAGCAGGGTGATTCAAGTCATTTGGGGTGCACTCGTTTCTCCATTCGATGTCGCCATAGTTAAAGTCCCCCATGATAAGGAGGTGGCTAGGGTTGAGCATCGCCGCATTGTCTATTTAGGCTCTTAAGTTCCTTTGATTTAGTGGGCCACAGTCCCCTCCCTTTAATTTAATTTTACACCACTTGGACTCTTCAAAAACATCCTCCCCCTGTACCCTCGCCTGGCTGGCTCTAAGGTCTTGCCTAGCATAGATAAACACACCCCTCTTGCAAGTTTCTTGAGAAAGGTTCGTAAATGAGTCATATCCAGCAATACTGAACTCGCATTCCTCTGGGTCGATTCTCCTGTTCTTGTACAACAGTTCTACAACTCCTGCAATATCGGGTTGGTGCACCTTCAACAGTGTTTCAAACTCCGCTCTCTGATCAAGGAACGTATCAGTATTTAGTTTTATCCTCTTCGCCACTGATCGGCTTGTTAGCCGCTTGGGCGATCGGTCACGTCTCTTTTCCTTTATATTCTTCACCAAAAGGTCGGCTCGCTAGCCGCCCGGGCGATCGGTCACGTCTCTGTCACGCACTGTTGGCAAATACTGGACATGCACCGGCTCCTGAATGTACCTGAACCCGCTCCAGTGTTGGTCAAGTCTTCTCTTGAAAGAGCTCACACTCGGTGCCGTCACAACACTCTCTGGTAGATTGTTCCAAGAGTTTACAACCCTCACTCCGAAAAAGTTTGCCCTCACGGTTTTCCGGACTTGCGGCTTCTTCAATCTTGAGCTGTGACCCCTTGTGGGGCGAGCGTCCGCCAGCTCCAAGTAAGGACACTCAACTGAGTAGTGCCCCCTGAGATGCTTATAAACCTCAACTAGGTCCCCCCTTGCCCGTCTGTAGTATAAGCTAGGCAAGTTCAGGCGCTCCAATCTCTCAGGGTAGCTGAGATGCCGAAGTGCAGGCACCAGTTTGGTGGCCCTCCTTTGAACATTTTCAACCAACTGACAGTCCCTAGCATATCTCGGGGACCAGATGGGGTGACAGTACTCCAGATGGGGAAGCACTTCACTCCTGAAGATCGTCACGAGGGACGGACCGTCTAGATATCTGAACGACCTTCTTATAAGACCCAATAATTTATTTGCCTGATTTACCTTCTTCTCACAATGGCCCGAGAACTTCAGCTCATTGTCAACATACACACCTAGGTCCTTCTCACACACAGTCTCAACTAGTACATTTTCTTCATCCCGTTGGGACATATGGTACGCCTCCTTACCGTTGGTACGCCCCAGGTGCATCCTCTTACACTTCGTGACATTGAATCTCAGCAGCCATTCCTTCGACACAATACGTACCTTGTAGTAAAAATAACATCATAATTTTATGATGGTATTGACACACACACAATGTCTAAATAAAAAACTACAGTACTGTACAAATATAAAGGTGTTTAACACTTACGATAGTAGAAGAGATGGGTCGGCATACGGGGATGGCGGCTGGTTCCGAGGCAGAGGGCAGATTAGTGTACCTCCAGTGAATCACTATCACTATTCACAGAGGTTTGCAGTGCCTCCCTGACAAACCCCTCCAAGTCCATATCCTCATTGTCACTGACTTGGGCTGGCTGTGGTTGGTTACGGGCTAAGAAGTCCGTAATACTATGTTGACGACTAGCATTGATGTTTTCGTCATACATCTGGACATACAGCTCCATAAATCTCAACAGGTTATTAGACACTTCATACCGATGCTTGACTGTGTCTTTGTCAAGGATGAGCTTGATTTTCTCTGCCAACTCAATGACTTCCTTCACATAACCATGGCTTGGTCCAGGTAGTTCAAGGTTTCTCGGGGGTGGTGGGGGTGCAGCGGAAGCCATCGTGAGGGGAATAGCGGGCACAAGAGAGAACTGTATACGCAGAGACTGAGAACAATGAGACTGGCCCGGCTAGGTCAGCAACTTCCTCCCTCTGGTGGCAGGGCACGTCATGTTACATTAGACCAATCACATCTAGTGGCAGAGGGAGGTAGGGATGCGTGGCCCAATCACAGTCCGATACGTCATATGACGTCAGTGACAACATAAGAGCAACCTAAAGCGCACCCTCCCTGTGTAAATGATGGAATGAACCACGTAACTTAAAATTGTCATTCTGGCAAGGTGCCGCATAAATGACCAAATGCGTAAACAAAATCCGTGTAAATCGAGACTATACTGTACTGTACGTATCTTGTAATATAATTTGAAAACGGTGACAGGCACTGTGATAAATAATTTATTTAAACCATGCATTTACCCACGATAAAATAATAAGAAACATTGTATCACTACTAGAGTGAATGAAATATTCTAAAAAATAACAATTGATAACAATTGGGCACCTGTGTCCCACTTGCTGATGCCTTGGTCACTTGAAATTTTGCAGACACATTGTCATACTTTTTATAATTTTTTAATTACAGTAGTATTATAATGGTGAGGAATAAAAATAATACCAATTAAAAATACTATTGCCCAAGTAGTTAATAAAAGCCAAATGAAAGTTTAACATATTCACCATTTGTATAGTCCCTGCTTCACCATAGTAACGAAGATCAGCCGGGCCGCTAATCTTTCGTGTTTGCCCTTGGGACAATTATTCTTTACTTTTACTTTTTCACAATATGTATGTAAGTTGGTGTGTGCATGTAACCGTGTAAAAATAAATGAAGAAAGTTACGTATATCAACCCAAAAATACTATTTGAAAAACAACCATAACACCTCACAACTTGGCCCAACAAACGATGCGGACTGGATCTGTTTTAGCTGAAGGGGAGTAAACACAGCATATGGACTGAGTGAGACCTGATAGGAATTTGACACATCCAGATGTCGGTCCAGACCAACCAAAATCCGGATCCGAGAGGGTTTACTGCATACCTTGGTCAAGAGGCTGAATAAGATAGGTGTGTTCTCTAGGACTTCTTTATTTTTTTAATGGTAATCTGTGAAATTCAGAAGGATGCAAGCTTTAAAACCATGAGCTTTAAGGGAACACTGTATGTTTTCCCTGCAGCTGTTCAAAAATATTGACAGTTGTTTGAGCTCTTCAACAGAGTCTCTTGCTGTAAATGCAAGTGTTATATGAATGTGTATGATAATTGAGAACAGTAAATGAAAATCATCTGTTTTCAGAGGAATAAATATTTAAATGGGACAAATTTAGAAATTGAATGCTTCTGTAAGGTAATGATATACCCGGTACACCAGCATTCAAACCGTTATTGAAAAATGGTTAAGTGTGCGTTTGAAGGTACAGTAATATCTGTTAGCCGGAATCCCTCAAACCCAGAACTCTCTGATAGACAGAATGAAATTTTCTCTGAATATTGTTTCCAAAGCCGGAATTTTCCGGCTTTGGGAACGATTTTCCGAGGGGAACATTTTCTGGAAAATTCAGAGAAAAATTTCCCGATACCCGAAAAATTCAGGGGATTTTTTTTTTCTGGGTTTGAGAGATAAAAATCAGGCGCATTTCTGGAAATTTTGAAAATTCCGGGGACGAGGGATATTTTTTTCCGGGTTCGAGAGATGATGTACTGGGCAATTTATGGAACTTCCAAGAAAATTTTTCCGTAACCCGGAAAAATCTGGGGATGAGGAATTTTTTCCGGCTTTGAGAGAGTTGTCGTTACCCAGAAATTACTCACTCCTGGAAATGCTCTGCACCAATTGTTCCGGCTAACTGGGATGTCACTACTGAATTGGTTTGAGCTATTTCATACACTTATATCAGCAGAGAAGATGATGGAATACAACGAGAAAAGTGCACAAGAAGCTCATTACAGCACATTAAATAATTATTACACGATAAAGTTCTGCTATATTTTGTTTAAACTCAGAAAAAGGATAAACACAACATTATTGATGAAACATGTTTATTAATATTTTTACTTCTTCTTGGATACACCAACAGTGCGACCACGACGGCCTGTGGTCTTGGTGTGCTGACCTCGCACACGCAGACCCCAGTAGTGACGCAGACCTCGGTGAGCACGAATCTTCTTCATGCGCTCAAGATCTTCACGCAGCTTGGTCTCAAGATTATTGGACATCACCTGGAAATAAAATTTATATTCACAATATTGCACATCTTAAATCAACCTGTATATGAGCTTAACATATAAAACTCACCAATAACAAAGTTAACAAGAAACTATCCCATACTGTAATACTTTACAAATCCAAATGACTGCTGACCTCAATATCTCAGCATTGTACAGAAAGTAACAAAATGTATTAAATTTGGGTTAAATAACATTTTCAAATAAATTCTGGATAATCTGGCTATTAAGTAAATGAAATAGACATTAGCTACCACTAAGTAAGTATGGAAAGGAAGAAACTTACCAAATCCCAAAGAACATGTACAACTATATTCCAAACATGATAAAAGTGGTAACTGAGATACTGTAAATATGATAAAAGCCCTTCTGGAAAAGTACAAATACTCTGCCCAGTAAGTTAAATATGGAGTCAGCAAGTTGATATGGAATATTAAAGGCATACAGTAAAAGTCCAAAAATCCGGATGCCAGGAATCCGGACCACCCGAGAGTCCGGACTTTTTGAAAACTCAAACTTTTTAAATTTAGCGGTCTTTTGTGGGTTACGTGAATGAATGGAGTTGCTTTAAAAAATTAATTTACATAATTCTAATAATATAAGTAATTGTAAATTACAGGTAGCTAATTTTGTTAGTTTGTAATTAGCTTGAACTGAAATGTAAAATTTGAGGCACTATAAATCTTTTGTGTGTATGTGTGCATGAGTGAATGCCACAGCTGCACAGCGACAACAAACGACCACATGATCGCCACTTTAAAACAAGCAATCAAACTGTGACAACGTATGTAATTTTGAGTCCTACTCTTTCCATGTACAGAGTACAGGCCCATAATAATGGCCCCTAAAGTAGATAAACTTTAATGTGTGAAGAGAAAGAAGAACACATTGAAATTGAGTGACAAACTTGAAATAATTAAGAAACTAGAACGTGGTGTGAGCAATGCTGTTCTAATGGAAATATATGACATTGGAAAGGCTACAATTTATGATATAAAAAAGGCAAAGAATAAAATTCTAGAATTCACAGCTTCTTCTGAGCCTTACATTAAAATTGCTGAAAGAAAAAGTTTACATTGGCCCAAATTAGAAAATCTTGATAAAGTGTTGCACGAATGGTTTTGTTAAAACGATCAAAAGGTATGGCAATTTCTGGGCCGATGCTTATTGCCAAAGCAAAGTCTTTTAAGGAGCAAATGAACATCGAATCAGAGTGTGCATTTAGTGATGGATGGCTTAGGAATTTCAAGACTCGTCATGGTATTAGACAGTTTGTTTACATTTTTGTCTAGTGTTGACTTTGTTTCTTTAAAACTGCTCGTTTTGATAAATGAAGCATGCTTTATTTGCTAATGAATAAACTATCAAAATGTACCTGTTCATCTCATCTTTATTCCTCCTTAAATTTTAGTTTTAAAAGTACTGCCTGAGAATCCGGAAAATCCGAAAATCCGGACCTACCCAATCCCCAAGCAGTCCGGATTTTTGGACTTCTGCTGTACATTGAACTGTCAACAGTTCTCTTTATTTATTCCATACTAAAGCACTTATAAATACTAAGACAAATTTTGAGTGTCGGAGAGATTTGAAACCCTTGCTTGACAGAACAAGCAGAGTGCAAGATCATTTCCAATTTCTCTGGCATATTTTCCAAATCTAGGTATTACATAAGATGACCCAGGAACAAGGACAACATGCTGAGCTACTGAATTACAATAAAGCTTGAGCATGATCAAAAATATAAAATATAATCTTCCAGTTTTCTGGAAGAACAAAAAGTTTCTGTAGATACCGCACTATAAAAAATCTTTACTAATATCAAATGGTTTTGAAAATTTATAAACTAAAATATTTACCTGACTGTATTTGCCATCTTTGATATCCTTTTGTCTGTTAAGGAACCAGTCAGGAATCTTGTATTGGCGAGGGTTGCCCATGATTGTTACAATCTTTTCAACCTGAAAGGACAAAATTAATTAATCCAAGGACTTTCACACAAACAAGGAAACCACAAAAATATTAAAATCAGCTAAAATTCTACTGTTTTTGAGCCCTAATAAAGTCCACCACAACTTAAGCACATTATTTTTAATCCTTGCAGATCTTAAAAACCTTTTCCCATAAAGTTACAGGGTGGTTGGTAATAAGAATAAAATCAGATACTCCTTCACTCAGTCTCTCTAACTGCTGTGGCCTCCATATAAACCTTTCAATGCCATGCTCAGCATTCAATCACACGATGCCAACATTTACTTCAACCTATGTTCCTTCTATACTTACATTTGTGCCTTTATCTTTTGAATTAGCCATCATCTGCTAAGAGCAGATAACTCCTCTCCCTTTTTGCATATGCTTTTTCAAAATTGGTCCTTCAATAAATTTCCCTTCACAAGATATTTCACCTATATTTCTGAATGCAATACCACTACAGCTCTTACAATAATATGCTCAATACCTTTTTAATAATGACTTACCATGCAATTATTTTTACATGGGAAAAACAAAATTTTTGGTACCTTTTCCTGTCACATATAAAAACTAGACCATACATTCCTATTATCCATTCTATAACTTCTCCACCTCCCACCCTTAACATATCCCCCCAATTCAATCCACTCCTGGAGCCTCACTAACCTCATAACCCCGTGAGATGAACAACTTTAAGGATTTTATTCAAACACCAAATGATTTTTTCAGTTGAAGGGAACCCTAAGCAACCAGAGGGTAAAGCCTATCTCGATTAACCCTATGAATGAGACTAAGGATTTTATTCTGGCTAGTGCCAAATGCTTTTATTCAGTTAAGGGGAACCCTTAGCAACCAGAATATTTTTTCACATCGCAGACTAGTTAGCTTTGCTTGTTTCATCCAATACAAAAAGACTTTGTTTTTCCTCTTCAAAACCTTTCGACATTTATATCTACATTTCACTTGCCGGGTGTTTTTCTTTTCCATTATTTCATATTTACATTTTTAAATTTTCCTCTTTCATCACTCCTTACTTGCAAGTGTCACTCGCATGCCATCTTCAAATCTTAATTAGCACTGCCAGACCCTCATCCCACCATTCCCACTTCTTGTCCATTCCCATTTTCTTATACACACACTAATGTTGTTAGGATAGCACTCTTTAAACAGCTTCTCAGGCTCGTGCTTCAATTCCATTGACATAATATAATTTCAAAACCTGTACAGCATTTTCAAATCATTCAACCCCATCTCTTAACTTATAATTTTGTATAACCTTTCCTCAATTCCTGGAGTCCTACCATTTGCTTATGCTCTTGCTTCTGCTGAATAATGGTAAAATTCCCCCCGGTACTGCTGCTCCCAGAACATTCACCTCCTTCATCTTTCATACCATATCAGTCCTCTATTACAAAGTCTATCCTATAATTTTTCCACTCTAATACTAATGAAATTTACAAGATACAAAATACTGGGTAAGGCCAATTTATAATAATCAGCTTCCATAACTTAATGCCATGATTTGAATGGCAACTGTACCCTCTAGTAAATACTTAACCACATTACCGTACTGTAAATAATATTCCCACTAAACCTGGTCAATGAAAAAGACATTTCATGAATCACACCCATACATCTAAATAATGAGTCAATAGTTTGTGTATATTCCAGTGGTGTGACTTAAAATTGTTTTACAGTTAAAATGATTGTCAGAAAGCTTTAGTCTGAATCAACAAAATTGATCCAGGTGGAAAGATTCTATTTTTGTCTTCCTTCAGCTGTTACACCCAGCACAACAAAATGTGAGAGTGCCTTTGTAGAAGGGTATATGGTACACCAATTACAATAATGTCACTAAGAAACTTGCAAGCGATGTTTCTATTCCCCAAGGATTTCAAGATTCTTATTAAAATTATGCCCTTGGTAGTGAAACCAGAACTGTATACAGTACCATAAATCACTTGCAAAGTTGGTGGGCTAGGTCTTACACAATACCACATCAGAATGTTTATTACTCAGTACAATTAATTATCACCTTATCCTTACATGGTACTAAGGCATGCTAACTATTACCAACTAAAGTACACATACCTCCTCTTCTGTCATCTCTCCAGCGCGCTTTGACTGATCAATGTCAGCCTTTTTCAAGACAATGTTGGAATAACGACGACCAACACCCTTGATGGCTGTCATGGCAAACATAACCTTTCGCCGGCCATCAATGTTGGTGTTCATCAAACGCAGGATATGCTGAAACTTTTCTGGCACCACCAACGACTGAAAGCATTTATGTATCATGAGAAATAAATCTTGCGTAAACATTTATAAAACTTACAACAGAGCATTCCTACAATATGCAGGAATTCATTTGGAAATAGCATTTATTGGGTAAAGTGTTATACTGCATACTGCAGATATAGAATCAGAAAATAAGAAATTCCTTTGTCTAACTTCTCAAGCCTAGATATATAATTTTCTGTATATACCACTCACTGATTTGCACTTACCCTTGCTAAAATTATGCAACAGCCTACTTGCCACATACAGTGAACCCTCGCTTTACGAGGTCAATTGAACCCACGGAGGCCCGCGTAAAGCGAGAAACGTGTAAAGTGAACAACATAACATATGGGATTAGAGAGGTCCGACCCCCAAACTTCACTTTTTCAGACACAATACCTACGTTGTAGTAAAAATAACTTCTTAATTTTATGATGGTATGCACACACAATTAATAATTAAGAGAAATATCAATAATATTAGGTTTTTTAACACTTACATTAGTAGAAAAGATGGCTGGGCACACGGGGATGGGGGGTTGGTTCCGAGGCAGAAGGCAGATTATTGGCCCTCACCTGTATCACTATCCATCACAGAGGCTAGCAGGGCCTCTTTGTCAAATCCCTCAAAGTCCATATAAGTCCATATCCTCACTATCACTGAATTGGGCCGGCTGTGGTGGGTGGCGGGTGAAGAACTCGGTAATGTTTTGATGACTGGGCGACCTTGTGCCCACCCTGCCCGCTCTCCGCGTAAAAGGGTACATGCACCGCGTAAAATGAGCATTCCGGGTCTGGCAGGGTACCGCGTAAACGTGGAAACGCGTAAAAAAAAATAAAAAAACACGTAAAGCAGGGTAATACTGTATATAATTCATTCTTTTAAAATCAATTATGGTCCGGTGAGTTTTTGTCGATTTGCTGAAGCACCAAACATATGTAGACTCTTATTTTCCGTATCCCCCCTCCCCCAATTTTCATTAACCCCTTGTGTATCCCATGTGAGGGGATTAGTAGAGATACTTTTTGTAGTTTACTAACCCCTTGTGTACAGGGTGGTCTCTGCTGTATAAAATCGTATGGCATGAGCCAAATAATACTGTATACAGTATATTAAAAGTGGCACACTCATCTAGAAGATGCATTTGTTCTCAGTTTTTTCTTAAAACATACAGATGTTATAATGCACAGAATACAAGTCCAGTGGGGGAGGAAGGTAACAAAGTTTGAAACTTTTAAAGCTGCTGCAACTAGACCAAGGCCTCTGCTCCAGATGAAGTACAGTGAATGGACAAATCTGAGTTTAGAAAGAACAAACCACCAAGCAATATTCTGTACAGTACACATTAAATTTTAGTAGAACTCGGGTGTCCTCACTGCTAAAACCAAACAGCTCCATAATGAACTATCAATTTGCCAAAGGTGCAGAGGCCATAGTCCTTCAAGCAAACAGTCTTTCATTCCTCCCAACCAGAGCTGCATTTCATTCATTAAAATATTTCTGAAAAAGTTAACCCCTTCACTGAGATGCCACTTTTAATATTTATTTAACTAGTTCCAGACAATATTAATCAGCTCAGAGGGAAACTTGTACACAAGGGTTAAATCAAAAGTGCCTATACCTGTATAGCTAATATCTTTACCACCCAGGTGAGGGACTTAAGTTATGGCCCTAAGATATTTGGCTAAAGGGTTACACTCAACTTAACTATATTATGACAACCATACTCTGCACTCAAGTGTTCTTGTGCACCACAACAACCTATTTTCAGCTAATATATTCAAGGCAATTTTTCTTACCTCGAGGAAACCTCAATCAAGTGGAGGAAATGCAGCTTCCATTCCATATTTTGTATTATTATTTTTCTGTCTATGAATAATTTATGTACATCAATCTACTATATTTGTGCTTGAAGTGTTATTGCCATATGAATGCTTCCAGCAACCCTTCAATATGAACACTTGCAATAGGAAGTGTTTAGTTGCTGAAAAGTGTTTTTATGACAACACTTCCTAGCACATAACTGATGGCAGATGTACATTATAATTTATTAGATAAACTTAAAAACAAAAAAATTGCAATTCCAGCACTTAGTTTGTTTTCTCAAGGTAAGGTAAGAACTTGTTTTCAATGTCTGGATTAGATGGCTTACTGTAGGTGCACAAGAACTGCCAATTATTATCCAAACATTTTCAATAGAAAGTGTTCCATTACCACAGGCCACACTACTAGTTTACAACAGAGGTTTGATAATATTCTAACGGGAGACAGAGTGCACATTTTTACACTTTGTTCTACTCTGAATACAGTGCAAGGTCACATTGAGATAGTTCTATTGTTTACATACAAGGCATTTCATTCACAAGAACTCTTTGAGGATGCTTCATTGGTTCGTTTCATATGATTTATTATAAAATGAAAAACCTAACCTAAGCTAAGTTGGTTAATTTATTACCGATTAATCATAAGCTTATAATGTAGCAGTATTTCTTAAGTTTTTAAAAGTATTCCTGTGGATGAAACAAAATGTTCCAAATGTAATCAGTGCATATCAAACCATAGCACATTGTGTAGAATAGGGTTCAGTAGTACATGGCATAGAATAGGGTTTGAGAAGAGAAAACAGTAAAAATAATATTAAAGCCAACGTTGAACAACTAATATTGAGGGTAATTAAATCGGTTATATATAAAAAAAATCCGATAGAAACACTATACAATAGAATAAATTATTCTTAGTTCCCTTTCTCTTTTTATATAAGACTCAATAGGTAAGTAGGCTTTGGCAACTTCTAAATATTAACCAGTAGTTAAATTATTAAAATTCCCCAGATGACAAACTAAAACAATACAGTACCTCAAAGTTTTAGTATTGCACTATTTCATTTGTTGCCACTAAACAAATCTTGGGAATTTTTTAGTTGCAATCAGTAATTTTGACAAATCTAAGACACTTCTCTTCAATTGCACTTCGGGAGCTAAATTATGTATAAGCGACATTTAACATTTTATTATGCATGTTCATACATGGCAGTACACATCCAGAACATTACGTCCTTCATAACGATCTTCAAGAGTGAGGTGCTTCCCCCTGGTCCCCAAGATATGTTAGGGACTGTCAGTTGACTGTAAATGTCCAAAGGAGGGCCACCAGGCTGGTGCCAGCACCTAAGCTACCCTGAGAGATTAGAATGCCTGCAATTGCTCCGCTTATACTACAGACGGGCAAGGGGGGACCTAATTGAGGTGTATAAACATCTCAAAGGGCACTACTCAGTTGAGTGTCCTTACCTGGAGCTGGCGGACGCTTGCCTCACAACGGGTCACAGCTCAAGGTTGAAGAAGCCACAAGTCAGAAAACTGTGAGGGTTAACTTTTTCGGAGTGAGAGTTGTGAACTCTTGGAACAATCTGCCAGTGTTGTGACGGCACCGAGTGTGAGCTGTTTCAAGACCAGACTTGACCAACACTGGAGCAGGTTCAGATACATTCAGGAGCCAGTGCATGCTCAGTACACTTGCCAACAGTGCGTAACAGACGTGACTGATTGTCAAAGCGGCTAACAAGTCGATCAGTGGTGAAGAATATATAAGTAAAAGTACACACCCAGAACATTGAACAATGTGGCAGTACACACCCAGGGTAATATAGACAACTTTCACCACAGATGCATTATTTGTTTTCTTGTTTATATAATTGTATTTTCATCAGAGTTCTGATGATATATATATATTTTTTTTTTAAATTGTATTGTTTGGCACATAATTAGACGACTCAGCGCGCACTTCTTTGTCTTTCTCGGCATGATGCAGCGGTATACAACCCATGATCTCCGATCGATGCCAGTGTATGTTTATGAGCCGCACGGACAGGACGACTGCTCTCACATCCACAAAAAAACATAAAATTACACCGTATCTGTTTAATATGCCGGGGGGTCCGGAGGGTTGAGCCTCACGGCTAGGAAATTGGGCAAGGTTAGGTAGGTTTCTTTGGTTAGGGGTAAAATTAACATTTTAGTCATCCTTGTAGATATCCAACCTAACTTAGCCACAGAACCAGGGAGGGGTGGCACCAGACCCCCTTTTCTGGTGTGGGTTAAGTTCCTAAGGTTTGCCAGATCTCAAACTATAATAACACCTGGTTAGGTTGGTGAGGCCCTCTAACAATGCTTCTGCCGAATACAGCCCAACTCAGACCATCTCGGACAACTTAGGTTAACAAACACATTTCACAAATTTATTTTTGCATGAATGATAAAATCACAAAAGTACAATGATAAAAAGTAGCATAAAAGTATAAACAGTACTGATAAACAGTCACGTGATGTGAAACGGCTCGTAGCAAATTTTTAGCAATCTTCGTTCACTGCTGAATTCATCCCACAATTTGAAGAGCTGTCCTTGGTGATGTTTAAAAGATGTCGAGCAGTTCAAAAGATGTCGAAGTCTTTAAACTGCTAGGGGAACATGTGAGCACGGGGGTGGAGGAGACTGCAGTGGGAGCGGGAAAACAAAGTGAAAGGTTACAGGGAAATAGTGACAAAATTTTTGTTTGTAATTCACTTTAAAGTGGCTGGCACACTTGAAAGTGAGAGTTTTGTGGTGATGGGAAGGAAAAGAGACACCCATTTTAGATTTTCTATGTATTATTTAAGCATTTTCGACTTACGACCTGGATTTGGGTCCCAACCCCGTCATAAGTCGAGGAGCAGCTGTATATAGTCGGTGCCTCGGGTATCATGTTTAAATTTTCGGTGGTGAAAACTGTTGAAAAATATTTATTCAGATTATTGCTCATTTCTCCATTATTATTAGTTAGCTTGCCGATATCTGACTGTATTGGTCCAATCTTTTCTCATGTTTTAGTTTGATACATTTGAAAGAATCCTTTGGGGGTTGACTTTGCCTCCCTTGCTACCTTCAGTTCATTATTCCCCTTTTCTTATCTCGGTCTTAACCCTACTGGCCTATACCTTATAATAATCTCGGAGGTAAAC